TCCTTCATTGGGGAATTTTCTGTTGGCGAAGAAATCTATGCAATGGTCATAAATATGAGTCAGTGGCCAAGCAGCCGAATTGAGATCACGGGGATGCTGTGATGGTCGTAAGGGCGAAAAACGGTCATAGGTCCATTTTTCCGGTGATGTCGCAACTTTGAACGGTCACTAAATGAACTGTAGTAAGTCGAGGACTACCTGTATTACTCTTGGACCTGATCTCCACATTGCATAGATTTCTTCGACAACAGAAAATTCCCCAATGAAGGATTTTGCATATGTAGGCATTAAGTGTCATTGCCTTTGCTTTCTGTGGCCACTTCTCTAATCTCTTACGATTCTTTGGAATGCTTATTCCATTTTTTTTTGGGGGGGGGGCGAAATTACCATATTTTCCAGAGTATAAAATGTACCTTTTCCCCCCTAAAAGAGCGTGGAAATGTTGGTGCATCTTATACACCGAATAAAGCCACTTTTGGGCTCCCGAAATCCCACTCCCGCATCCCATTTTTGCAAAAAATGGGTGAAAAACAGGCCTTTTTTGCAAAAATGTAGGCATTTTCCCCTTCCCCCAGACCCCAGAAGCACTCTGCAGGCTTCAGCAGGACTGGGGAAAGGGGAAATGCCCTCGTTTTTGTGAAAAATGGCTCATTTCCTGCTCATTTTTCACAAAAATGGAGGCATTTTCCCCTTTCCCCCAGCCCTGCTGAAGCCTGCAGAGTGCTCCTGGAGGCCAGGGAGGACAACAACTGTTGTTTTTTTTCTTACTTACCTCTTTGATATCTTAGTGCATCTTATACACCGGTGCGTCTTATAGTTCAAATAATATGGCAAGTATTCTGAGCAGTGTTGTGACCCAAATTTTAAAAACGGGACATGTGGGATGGGGGGGGGCGGGGGAGAGACAGACTCATAAGGCCAGAGACTGAAGAAGGCAAAGATAAGCCAACACATGTCGAAAAAGATTCTGAGTCATCCAGGTCTACTTGTCTGGAAATTGAATTATGGCAACTGGAATTTTTTTTGTCGGTTTGAGACATTTCGCTACCCATCCAAGCAGCTTCATCAGTCTGGTTAGAGGACTTAGGCAGAGTTGTCGGAATTGACAAACTCTTGAAATTCTTAGGGGTATTCCTGCACCATAAACATATAATAATAGAGTTGGAGAGGACCTTGGAGGTCTTCTCGTCCAATTCAAGGAAGGAAGCCCTCTACCATGTCACATAAATGATTGTCCAATCTCTTTTTGAAAGCCTCCAGTGATGGAGCACCCAACAACTTCTGAAGCTTCGATTGGTCGATTGCTCTCACTGTTAGGAAATTTCTCCTTAGTTCTAGGTTGCTTCTCTCGTTAGTTTCCATCCATTGTTTCTCTGCTTGCCTTTTGGTGCTTTGGAGAATAGCTTGACCACCTTGTCTTTGTAGAAGCCCCTCAAATATTGGAAGATTGCTGTCATGTCTCCCTTAGTCTTTCTTGTCATTAGATTAGACATACCCAATTCCTGTAACCATTCTTCGTAAGTTTCAGTCTCCAACTGCCAAATCATCTTTGTTGCTTTTCTCTGAACTCTTTCCAGAGTCTCATGCAGAGGTAGGTTGCTACCGGTTTGCACCGGTTTGGACGAATCGGTAGTGGCAATTGGTACTGGGTCGCCGAACTGGTAGAGATGGCATGCTGGCCACACTCCCGAACTGGTTCCCTGGTCAATCATGCCGTTGTGGTCATGTTTATTTGTCATTTTATAATATTCTGCGCATGCGCAAAATAATTTACAGGCAACTGTGCATGTGCAAGCAACGCATGGCAAAGCATGCGTGAAGCGAACCAGCAGTAACGCCGGCAGCAACCTACCCCTGGTCTCAAGGTTTCTTCTCCAAAATGCATAGCAAGATGTCAATGACAATTCTCAGTCATGCAGGTAGAATTATCTGGAAATTAACGGATTGGTGACTGGAATTAAGCTGCTTCAATGGGCAGCGAAATATCTCAAACTCACAACAAATAAGCCCAGTTGCCATGACTCAACTAAGCCAACACACTCCTCCAACAGCTTTTCCTACACCGATACCACCCCTAGCAACTCCTAACGAGCAAGGTTTTACATTCCGTTCATCGATGACTTCTCTTACTTACATGAAAATAAGGGCAGCATCCCGCGAATAATCCAGCAAAATTTCATTCATTCTCACTTGTCGAAGTGACTGAAATAGAAGGTAGAAAGTAGATATAAAGTTTTAGGTGTAAGCAACCAGAACAGCTCTGACAATGGGTCAAGTTAATTTCTTTATTGTTGACCACCTGCTTAACAAGAATTTCACCAGATTATCTGCCTTCGTTTCCAAAATGGCAAGTATAAACTTAAGTTCAGGTTGTTAAATTTCCAGATCAACACTGGAGTAACGTTCTTATTCTTCCCCTAAGAAGGTGGGCTTGAAAATACCTTCCAACAGAATCATCATCTTCTTTGAATAACCCCATCATCCTTTGCAAGGTGGAGTCTGGCCAATCGAAGGGAGCTAGCAGAGTGTTTACTGGCTGGATGCCATTCCTGTCACCAATGCAGAGTTTTGTCCAGCAGGTATATTCTCAGCCTCTACTTAGGATTGAACTCACAGCCTCCTGATTGTGAGGCGAGAGCTCCCCCTCTAGGCCACTGCACCACTCCCCTTCCAACAGAGTGTAAAAGGGATTCTAAACTTCCCTGACAGGTTAGCCAGGTTTACCAAAGGTGTCCAATGCAAACACCTGGAGTTAGAAACCGATGATGGCCTCCCTCTCCCTACTTGCCCCCTTTCCTTGTCCTGATGTCCACCCCAGGGAAGGTCATCCGAACCTTAGCTTTGTTCTTTGCAACCTCTTCGTCGGAAATTTTCCATGGGCAGCCGTGACGCATCTCGTTTACCACCGCCTCATCTTTGAAGCCATCGTTCAGTCTGAACGGAGCAATTAAGTCATCAAATCTCTTCACACTAGGAACAAAACCACCGTGAGTTTCCATCAGGAACCAGATTCTTCCATGCCCTGGTCTTAGCCAAAAGGGGACACCTGCTTAGAGAAAGGGATCTGACCAATGGTAAGAACTAATCCTTGACTATTGTGACTATTGTGAGGCATGCAAGACCAGGTCCAACCACAAAGCTTCAGTTAAACGGATTCATTGTTAAAAGCTTATGGAGAGGAATCTAATGGACTGTTAGCACCTGCTTAGAATTAGATAAGGGTCAATGGCTCTCAAAGGGAATGGAATAGGAATAGAAATAGAATAGAATAGAATAGAATAGAATAGAATAGAACAGAACAGAACAGAACAGAATATGGAAAGAATATGGAAAGAATATGGAAAGAATATGGAAAGAATATAATGGAATAGAAATACTGTAGAAAGAATAGAATAATAGAAGAGAAGAGAAGAGAAGAGAACAGAACAGAACAGAATATGGAAAGGAAGAGAAGAGAAGAGAATATGGAATGGAATAGAACAAAATAGAGAATATGGAAAGAATATGGGAAGAACGGAACAGAACAGAATAGAATAGAATAGAATAGAATAGAATAGAATATGGAACAAAATATGGAAAGAATATGGAAAGAATATGGAAAGAATATGGAAAGAATAGAATAGAACAGAACAGAACAGAATATGGAAAGAATAGAATAGAATAGAATAGAGTAGAATAGAATAGAATAGAATAGAATAGAATAGAATAGAATAGAATAAAGAAGTATAGAATAGAACAGAACAGAGAAAGAAGAATAGCGTAGCGTAGCGTAGCGTAGCGTAGCGTAGCATAGAATAGAATAGAATAGAATAGAATAGAATAGAATAGAATAGAGGGATGGAAGGGACCTTGGGAGGGGCCAGCTAGGAGTGGGATTTGGAGGTTCTCCGAACTGGCCATAACCTTAGCTACGGGTTCTCCCGAACTTGGGTGAACCCATAACCGCCCACCCCTGCTCCCAGGGCCATGTGATCACCGAGTGTGACCTTCCCAGCTGGCATCTGACAAGCAAAGTATCAGAAGCTGGATTAATTTAATGACCACTTAACAATTGTTGTAATTTACTGTATATAAATACATTTTCAACTGGAACAGGTTTTATGGTGGGATGCTGTAGTATTGGCCCATACATTAATGCATAATAATAATTCTAATTGCAACAACAACAACAACAGCAGCAGCAACAACAACAACAACAATGCTTTACTGTTCAGGTCGGGGTTTCTGGTTAATGTCTGGAAGGACGTGGACCTCATGAAATCCAAGCCGAAACTTGCTTAATAAAGAGACAATCCTGAGGAAGGGGAAAAAATTAAGACGTGGTTAAAAAAAAGTTATTTCAACCCTCTTTATGATATATATTTCCTGTTTTGAGGCTCCCCAACTCCATTTCTCTATATAAATGCTGTACTTGCCACACCACAGCCCTGAATTCCGCAGGTGGGACTTACGCTTTCCGCTCTTCGTCCATCCGGTTGATCTGCCCACCAACAAATACTCGGATCTTACATTTCCCCCATCTCTTTTTGCGGCCAAGGAGGTAAGGGATGAGAAGAGTCAGACCTGGTGATGGAAAACCAGAGAGGGACCTCAATAACCAACACCTCCTCCTTCTCCTTTTGATTGCATTTAAATCCTACTTAGAACCTAGAATAATAGAGATGGAGGTCTCTATTGAAGACCTTGGAAGTCTTCCAGCCCAACCATTCCTTCGGTTGTGACGTGTCAGCCACTGGCCCCTCCAGCAGCTGAATCAGAGGATGAGGAGGAGGTGTAGGAGTCAGGATCAGCATCAAGGCAACCTGACAGCTCCGAGGGGGAAGAGGGAATAGAGCAGGTGGAGAGATGGGGTGGGGGAGCCTGGGCTGTCCGTCAGCCTTTAGATGGAGAGTCAGCAGCCCCCAGATCTGCAGGTGGCTGATGAGGAAGAGGAGGAACAGCTTGGTCCAGTGCTGATGTGCGAATGCACAGAAGGCAGAGGAGAGGAGAGCAGTGGAAATGTGTGGGCTGGTCTTTAGGATAGAAGACCCAATGCTGCTAGCGAAGCCCCACCCCAGCTCTGGGGATCAAAAGCAGGAGGCAGAGATGAATAGGTTTTGCAGACAACTATTCATCATCCTCCAGCCGGATGGACTTGTTAGCCTGCGGTGAAAGAGAAACTGTTTGCCGGAGTTGCCGGTGCTCCTAATAAAGGAATCTCTGAGTTCACTTCAGAGGGTTGGTGGTGTTTGGGGAGCTGGGTCAGAACACCTTCCCAAAACTCAAGTCAGTGTAAGATGATGAGATCTCAGGAACCCAGGTTAACTTCCATAAAGGGGTTGTTGGATTATGGTTCTGAGATCACTTCCTGGAATGAAACAATGCCACTGCTGGCATTTTTAGAGAAGGAAATCAGAGATTGGGCAGTTAAGAAGCTGGTTGACCAAAAGCATTGGCTGGGTTTGCCTACTAAATTGCATCCCTTAGTGGAATCCCTGCTGAGAGTTCCAGCACTGAGAGAATGCTAGAAAACCCAGGGGGAAAGAGAAGCAAGAGTCCATTTACCGATCCCAGGTGTTGCTCTCTTCTGCATGAGAAAAAAGGGGAGCCAGCCTTACCTCCATCATCAAACAGCCAGTAGATATCAATAGTTTTCTTGCCTTGATTCATCTGGAAAATGGTGCTCGCCTGTTGTTCCGCCACCGAAGCATCTGGATCCACTAGGAAGGGGGAAAGAAGGGGAAGGAGAAAGGGGAAGAGGCAGGGGAGGAAGGGAGGGGAGGAAGGGAGGAGACGGGAGGGGAGGGGAGAGGAGAAGATAAGAAGGGGAAGGGAGAGGATATATAATCTCTTCCTATTTTATTATCAAAGTTACAGCCTAATTATGGTTTCTCTCCTTTAAAATCAACCACTTCAAAAATGGGGCTCTTCTAGAGAAACAACCTTTTCAAATCCAAATTCTTCATTACACATTAACAGAAGGGACCTTGTAGGTCATCTAGTCCAACCCCCCCACCCAAGCAGACCCTGCCCCATTTCTGACAGATGACAGTCCAGTCTCTTCTTGAAAGCTTCCAGTGATGAAGCTCTCACAGCTTCTGAAGGCAGCTTCTATTCCATGGATTGATTGTTCTCACTGTTAGAAAATTCCTCATTTCCAAGTTGAGTCTCTCCTTATTCCGTTTCCATCCATTGTTCCTTGTCTGGCCTTTGGGCACTTTGGAAACTAGCCTGACCCCCTTCCTTTCTGTGGCAGCCCCTCAAATATTAGAAGACTGTTATCATGTCTCTCCTGGTCCTTCTCTTCCCTAGACCAGTCATGCCCAGTTCCTGCAACCGTTCATCTTATGTTTTAGCCTCCAGTCCTTTGATCATCTTAGACAGATTCAGAGTTGGAAGGGACCTTGTAGGTCATCTAGTCCAACCCCCCCCCAACCAGACCCTGCCCCATTTCCGACAGATGACAGTCCAGTCTCTTCTTGAAGGCTTCCAGTGATGAAGCTCCCACAACTTCAGTTGTGTTGGACAGAAGGTCTCAGCCCACTGACGGGATTGTGCCTTTTAAGGCATGGTTAAGTCTGCTGCAAATTTACCCCATTTGGCACATATCATAATTCAGTGTATTAGGTGAACCCAGGAAATGGATTTGGTTAGTAACCCAGTCAAGATGATTTTTGGAACTGACATGTGCCTGTCACGGCAGGTACTTCACTACTTTTCTGGGGAACTTCCACTGGATCAAAAGCTGGATTAACTGGAGACAGAAAGGAGACAATAAACAAGGCAAATTCATAATATTCTGAGCAATGAACAGCTTCCCACATTAATATAGCACATCAAGTCATAATGAGGGTTGCCTTATCTAGGCTTCTTAGGCTGTTGAGTGTATTGAGCCATTGTAATTTTTCAAAATTTATAGCTTAGCACAGGGCTCTGCAACCTTAAACACTCAAAGAGCCATTTGGACCCGTTTCCCACAGAAAAGAAAACACCGGGAGCCACAAACCTGTGTGGGTGTGGCCAACTCAACATCACTCACTCCCACTTAGTCATATGACGACCACCACCCAGCCACGCCTACCCAGGTTTTGTGGCTCCCGGTGTTTTCTGTGGGAAACGGGTATCTCTGTGTGTATGTGTGTGTCTTTCTTTTTCTCTGTCTGTCTCTCTCTCTTTCTCATCTCTCTCTTTCTACCTCTCTCTTTCTCTGTCTCTCTCTTTCTCTGTCTCTCTCTCTCCCTCTCTCTTTCTCTGTCGCTCATCTCTCTCTGTCTCTGTCCCTCTCTCTCTCACTCTCTAAGGCCAGGTGAGGAGTGACTGGAAGGGGAGGGTGAGGGGTGGGGCCAGACAGTGGTAGGTTCAGCCGACAGAGAGCCACAGCAGGGGGACAAAAGAACCGCATGCAGCTCCAGAGCCTTGGGTTGCTGACACCCAGGTTAGCATGAAGTGTACCCCCAGTTAATTGTGATTTGATCACGAAATTAAATTAAGTTTAGAACAGTGTAATGGAGTACAGTCTGGATTCCCAGAAGGGAGTGGCTATATTCCAGAGGGCAGCTTGGAAAGTTGGAGTGGCAGAAAGAGGGTTAAAATGGCTACTCCATAAGCGATTCCCAGAATATATCAAGAATCTAGAGTCACCTCAGCGAAATGGATGACATAGAAGTTTAATAAACAAATCTATTAGTAATGGAAATAGTTGCTTTAGTCTGGCAAGATTCTGTCTGTAGGTGACGAAAACTACTCCCAAGTAACTCCTCAGATCATTCTTGGTTCTTAGAGCCTGTTGTGCAGTGTGTTAACTCATCTACAACCAACACTGCACAGAATTGATGGATGCATTTAGCAAACCTTTGTTTATTTAAACCAGTTGATTTAGATAAACAAACTTAATATAAATCAAACTAACCACCTTATGGCTTAGTGTTGGAGTCTCCCCCATGGGCCAGGAAGATCAATCCGGTTGAGGACGTTTCCTTTGGTGTCCACTTGGTTTTCTACCTACCCCAAACAACTTTTTACAATAAAATAAAAGTAAAAAGTACAACCTTGCCGCAAATTGAAACATCTTTTTCCTGCATTATCTTTATTTTCCAAAGAGCAGCATCCACAAAAAAGTCAGAATGCTGTCTGGAGCTTTGTAAGTGACATTTTTTTTTAACATTCACACCACCGTTGCCTTTGCTAAAATTAGAGTGTAAGATATCTCGATGGATTGAAAATCTGAGTCATTGGAATGCAATTTCTCTTACGAAGCAGCATAAAAATGAAGACTGACAAATCTATAAAAGAAACTGCCTCTTTCTAAGATATTTCCCTGCTTCTGCACCTGAATCAGTTAGGCAAACCCTCTTCCTTGCACAATTTCTGGAGAAGTCAGCTGGGGGAACTCACTGTGAGCCTGCATGATCCGAGAAATATTAAGTCCCTCCTTCACGCGCATCACGCATACTCCGTATTTGAAGTCAAAAGCATCACTGGAATAGGAGAGGGGAAAAAACCACTCAAATATCAGCATGAGGGAGATTTTCAGAGATGGACTAACTAGGATAGTATGGCACGAGTGAGTCGGTCTCTATCCAGGGGTGGGATTCTACCAGGTGAACCAAAAGAGCCGAGGTGGCGCAGTGGTTAGAGTGCAGTACTGCAGGCCACTTCAGCTGACTGTTATCTGCAGTTCAGCGGTTCAAATCTCACCGGCTCAAGGTTGACTCAGCCTTCCATCCTTCTGAGGTGGGTAAAATGAGGACCCCTTGTTGTTGGGGGCAATATGCTGACTCTTTAAACCACTTAGAGAGGGCTGAAAGCCCTATGAAGCGGTATATAAGTCTAACTGCTATTGCTATTGCTATTAGTAGCTCCAAAGATCTGCTGGGAGCTAATTAATGGTGGGTTCCTACTGCTTTGGACCAGTTCGGCTGAACCAGTATTAGCTTAGCGGCCTGAGTCACTGTAACTGGCAGCGACCCAGGCCTGCCAAGCCCCCAAACCGGTTCTCCCAGTGGCCCCGTAGGCACTGCCATCTCGTTTTTTGCTTCTGCGCATGCACAGAGCAATTTTAGTTGTATTGTGCATGCGCGCACAGCGCACAGTGCACATTACGTGCAAAGCTTGTGCGCAACGCATCCCTGAACAAACCAGCAGTAGTCTCTGCCGAAACCCACCCCTGGAGTTAACCGGTTCTCTTCCACGACCATATGGGCCCATCCGCCCACCCCTGCGCTTTACCTACCTTTATCTTCTCAGCTGAGTTGCGCATAGTGGATTCACGCACCTCAGCTGTTTTCCTTCATGAGCAGTAATCCAGAAGGTAAGTCGTCCACAACATTTGGACACACGCTCAGAGAACCGGTTGTTCTCTGAGACCCAACTGTGGGTCTATCCCTATTTTTTTTCCCCAAAGGAAGGCACTCTTAAGGCCATCCAATGCCTTTTTACTTACAACGGTGAGAATTGTTTTTCAAAAGAACAGTTGAAATATAGCTTCACTTCTATAAAAAAAAAAAAAAGCCAAATCTGTCTTTCTAACAGCATCTTCTCTCAATTTACTCATATCAGGATGTATTGTGATTCCTTTAAAGAGCTAAAAACTGTGGTGCAGTTTTTGGACAGATGCAAAATCATCTTGATATGTAAGTTTGAAGGGCGTGTGTTACTCCAGTAAGTCATCCAGACAGGGAGGATGCAACCAAAGATAGTTGCAACTGATTGATGACATTTTCCTGAAGATCATCTTGGACTTCGAGACTTTTGGAGAAGACTAGATTTGGGAAGTCTGGCTTAGAAGTTGTTTAAGACAACGGCCAGATGTACTTACTGCAGAATCCCGATATATTCCTCCACTGTCTGAGGATGTGCTGCTTGCCAATTCTTCTTATATCCAAGCACAAGAACGTTGGGTTTCATTCTCCCAAGACCTGAGGCCTTTATTAAGAAAAAGATGAGCTTTTAGGGTAAAAATGCTTTCTAAATTCGTTGTGACCAACCCTTCTGCATGAATGGGATGGGATGGGAGAAGGGAAGGGAAGGGAAGGGAAGGGAAGGGAAGGGAAGGGAAGGGAAGGGAAG